TTTTTTTTCGCTCAGAAACGATAACAAAGTCGCAACTTTGCCTTAACATGAGTTGCGCCGTTGTTTGGCGATTTTGAGGTTTTCAGAACTCTTAAACAAAATAGTCGCAAAATCATGGTTGGCGCCATCGATGAGTAAGTCAGGCTTTGGGCAGCTTGAAAGCAAGCTCCCAGCAGTCTAGAATTATCTTAAGACTTGGCATCCAGCTTTTTTTTAAAGGCTGTATCACTAAATTTCAGATCATCGTCAACGAATATTTAAATTTTAGTGATACTTCCTATGGAAAAAAAGGTGAGCTCGCCTAAGGTGCTTGCAGTTGTTCCTTCGACTAAACATCTCACTTTTGCCATAGCACGAACACAGAGGTTATGGCAAAGTGTAGGGATTAACTCTATTAATATCATAAAGTGTTAAAATCTTGCACAACCAGTGTTAAACTTTTTTTTCCTAATCAAGCGTTCTAAACGGAAACTATTAAGAGCGATGTAGTTAGGCTAGTTTCTCACCATGCGTCTTCTGCAATTTTTCCGTTTTCTACTCTAACCGAACTAAACCAACCTGATATACGTTAAGGTATGTTAAATACACGTTATAGTTGGATTTTGGAAAAAAATGTTCGCATCTAGCAGTTAAGCGAATTATAGCATTTTTCAAATGCGATTATGAAGATGGCTAGTAGTCCGAGAAATGTGATATACTATCTTCAAGATTGTGAAATACTGAACTTAGCCAATAATCCAGAAGTATTTTTGAGATATTTGTGTACAATTCTTCTTTTCCAACAACCTAATTCATTTCTTTTTCCACTATCTATCCTCTTAAAAATCTTTGTTAAATCAGAGCTTCCGAATTCCACTCACTGTAGAATGCGTGTGTTGTATATTTGCTGCAAGGTATTCCCTCTCTTCTGTCGATATGAATCGATTAGTTGTAGGAGAATTCGTGGCGAAGACCACCCAGAATACTAACCATAAGCAGCCAACTGCACCAAATATGTAAAATATCATCGGCCATCCTGGATTCAATGTACAAAGGTATGAAGAAATCAATGAGGAAAATCCAGCCGCCAACTGAAACCATCACTGTATAATCATGGAAGTATTTTGATTCATCAATGCCGAAAAAACGCAATGAATAAACATCAGGAGGAAGTCGTAATACCTGGTTTCCGGAAGTGTACATCGCTGCTACCGTTGATTTCTCCGCTGGAGCATACCATTTACCGATAAGACTTGCAAAAGATGGAAATACAAAACCCTTAAAAAGTTGACTTTATTAGGAAGTTTTTTGTCAACGAAGTCTTCCTACCTCTCCAATACCCATAATGACTCTGGCGGTAAAGTAAGCGACATAGGAATGACGAGCTAGGAACGGAGTCAATAGCGTAACAAGAATGTAGTCCAGAGTGAATGCTTAAATTTAAATATATACATGCATTCATTTACTCAATATTGTTTGCCCATTTATGCATTTGGATGTCTCTTTGTGTCTGCTCACCTATGACAATTGTTTTCGGACCGTACCTGTCCGCCAAAACTCCTGCAAAAGAGATGGTCGCCAAACCACCATAGAAGGTTGCCGAGAGCAGAAGAGATTGCATCGCTGGGCTCCATAGTAAATCACCCTTAAATGACTCCATTTTCCTACATTTTACTCAGATACCTTTATATCACAATACTGAGCAACGAATAATTTTTATTTTAAAGACCAATATGAAAGGAAGTTATTTGAATTAGGATACCAATATGTGACCCTCAACCTAAGGCAGCTTTGGTGAATGTGAGCCAATCTTTTGTGTATTATCTCAAGACTTTGTCTAAATTTCCGAGATAATTTTCATAAAAAAGAAAAAATAACCGCAATTTCGCATCTTTCTACTTTACGAAAGAAACACAGTTATACCGTATATCCAGCATGAACAGCAGTCTCCACGTCTGTAATTACAGCCTCACATTTTGAGGATCCAGTGGCTTCGAAAGTTTCGTTGATTATTGGAGATTCGGTTAAGAAAGCTGTTGAATTCACCATACAGACGACAGCCATACTTAAATTCAACCGCATAGATACGGTAGAATAGAGACCTAGATATATCTTTTGCTTTTCATTGTCAAGATTGCAACTGATTCAACGTACCAGTGGTTATAAGTAAGCAAATCCACAATCGCATAGATCTGAGAGAATACAATGGAAAGTATCGAGGCTTGGATGTTTTCGCTTCATTTGGGTTTTCCATAATAAGATTTTCTATAAAATGCTAGTTAAATGAAAACAAGAGGGGAAGTAAGCACTCAGCTAACAATTCCAAAAACATTGCCACAGCTTAAATGAAATGCTTTTTGGAGCAGTAAACAACAATTGACATATGATAGCTCGAAATCAAAATTCTTAAAAGCACACACGGAAGAGGTAAACTCTACATAAATTTCAGGATAACGTTGGAAATGCCGCCACTGATACGACGAGACCCGCGTATTTGAAGTAGAATTTACATAAGCTTCTTTTAGTGCAATTTTCTCGCAAAACCATGTTTTTGACAGGTTATGATGTCATCATTCAAATCAGACTATGACATACCATTGGTGAGTGATGATTCGCTCTGTATGAGCGTTTCTTTTGTTTCCTCATCTTCTTCGACTCCATCGATCAAGCAATCCAAACCTAGTCCCTGAGAAGCTATTTGGCTAGGATTTGAGCTGAGAACCATTGAGCATCACCTGCGTTGATAAGACATTAATATGGTAAAACTGCATGGATTAGGACGAATTACTACTGGAAAACGATGAAAACCAAAAGAATTATTCTTAGAAAACTAAAGAGAATTAAACATGGAAGGTGAACATACTCAAGAGCATATCTTATTCGGAGTTTATAGAAAAGATTTTCCCAAAAAGTAATTATTGGCTGAGTGTTCTCTACAAAATGAATGTTGAATAAGTTGAGCGAAAACGTTATTGTCTTGTTGCGATCAGATATTTACAGCTAGACAAGATAAGGCA